ACACACACACACACACATACTACTCAAAAAAGCAGCACTGTGCAATTTTTACTCAATCCATTATTCATAAATGCCTCAAAGCTATTTGGTGGCTCTTGGTGAAGTGGTGGTGGTACAAAGAGACATTAGTGGAGGAAGAACTCTGCACACAGTACCTTTAATAGGACTGTGTTGTATTGTTAACACAGAGACACTACATGGAGAGGATAGAGAGTTTCTATAATGTTTGCTGTAGTCCTGTTGATTTTTATGGCTGGTAATGGCAGGATGCTCTCTGCTTTTAAGCGATTACATGGGAAATTGCCTCTGGTATTTTTGACCTGTTGCTCATTTCTGCAGTCTTTACAGTTGCCTGGCTTTACCTAATAAGAGCTGTGTACAATTCAAAAGCTAAAGGCTCCGGCCGAAAGAAAGGTAGATAATGTGAGAGTGAAGGAGAGGGCCTCTCTGGCAGCCTTCTTTGCCAAACCTGTTTTTCATAGAGACACACTTCACAGTAACACCTGTCGCCTTCAGGGTTATGTGTGTGTGTGTGTGTGTATCATTAATCCAAAAAATGCATGGAAATTAGCTTCTTTATTTTCAGTTTTCTATTATTAGTGAACGTTTTGATGTCACCAAGTTGTAACCTTGTGTACACTGACAGACATTTGTGATATTGTTAGAGAGAGTGCAAATAGAGTAAAGTGATACAAAACTTATTCATGCTACTCATCATACCTAACTTTCATTTCATTTTAATAAATTGGCTCCATCGATGGACAATTAGCAAGTGTCTTCACAGTGTGTCCGTCTGTGAATGCAGGTTACTGAGTCATCACTTATCAGTCCTCTCTCTCTCCGTCTCCTTTCAGGTGTTCACCAGATACGGGAAGTGCTACATGTTCAACGCTGAAGAGGAGGGCAAGACGCTCCGGACCACCATGAAGGGAGGGACGGGAAACGGCCTGGAGATCATGCTGGACATCCAACAGGACGAGTACCTGCCAGTGTGGGGGGACACAGGTAGGCACGACCACCTGCTCACCTGTCCTGTCTGACCTTGAATAGATCAGAGTTAGGACATGTCGCTCTTCAAATCCCAAATACCACCACCCTCTTCCAAACCTTTCTCCTTCACTCAGGAAGGAGCAACTCTAAAATAAATGCCTCCTTCTCTTCTTTGCTCTTCCATTTTATCTTATCTTGTGCTGCCTTCAAATAGAACTTATGGGGTTGTGTATTCAACATGTGGTGAGTCATGAGATCACTGTTGCCAGGTGACTGACAAATAGAACAGCCTTTTTTCCTTTTCAAAAATTGTTTTGATGATTACTCTTTGTTTTCTGTATTTCAGCTCCAGCCTAGAAATCAGGGTGAGCAACCAAAGTGATTCAAATTTCTGTTCATG